TGTCCCTACAGTCAAAAACCCTGATAAGGACGCGCGGTAAGGACGCAAGACCCTTGGAAGCCGAAGTTGGGATTTTGGGGGCGGCGGACGACGAAAACCCCAAGGACGCAAGAGCAAGGAAGAGCAAGGACGCAGGGGTACCCTGAGCAAAGTCGCGCGTCCTTATTAGGGTTTTTGACTGTAACGCCGGATGCATGGGCACGCCTCTCCCCCGACGGCACCAGTGTCTGGCGCGGGGCCTGCCAAGAGGGGTGATACTCGGCCGCTGCGCATCACTAGCCGTTGTTCATCATCGGCGGCGCCTCAGGAGGGCACAGTAGAGCGCGGCCCTGGTTCCTGCCGCCATCTGATCCCCCCACCTCCTGGTACTCCCTCCTTCCCCCTCATCCACCCTCCTCCTCGCCCGCCCGCTTCCCCCCCTTTCAACCCCCTCCTCCGAATCCCCTTTCTTATCCTTCTTGTTTCCCATACGCCCCCTACTCCTCCTGCTCCTCCTGCAACTCGTCAGCTTCAGCGTCATCACAATAACCATCATCATCATCATCATCATCATCATCATCATCATCAGCATCATCATCAGCATCATCATCATAAGCAGCATCAGAAGCAGCACCAGAATCAGCATCATCAGCATCAGCATCAGCATCAGCATCATCAGCATCATCATCATCATCATCATCATCATCATCATCATCAGAACCACCACCATCATCATCACCACCACCACCGTGATCATCATGGCCATCAGCACCATCAGCATCACCAGACCGATCATCATCGTCATCATCATCGTCGTCGTCACCACCACATGTAATCGTCATCATCAGCAGCATCGCCATCATCAGAATCATTCAGAATCATCATCACCAGCATCATCGTCATCCTCATCGCCACAAGCAACATCATAATCACCACCATCAACACCATCTTCGCCACCATTACCAACATCATCATCAGCAGCAGCATTAGATCATCTTCGTCATCACCACCATCACAAACCATTCCTCGTCATCGACATCGCCGACAACATCATCGTCGTCATCGCCAGAGCTGCCCGGGCCAGATACCCTCAGTTCGTCTTTCCGGCCACGCGGGTCGGACTCCACAGGTCGGCATCCACTGAGGTCAGCGGGGGGAGGGACAGACGGCGGCCCACAGAGAACAGACACACACGCACACACGCACACACACACACGACGCAACGAGCGGCGAGCTACGAGGAGAGAAAAGAAACCCGGGCGGCACGGCGGGCGTGCTCGACGTGATTGCTCGAGGCGAGCGCCAGCGGAGCCGGAGCGCGCGGACTGCCATGCCAGATAGCTCCAGGCCGGGCTTGTGTCTTCCGCGTCTCTGGCCGGGCGGGTCGACAGGTCGACCCGGCGGCACCCGGCTGGGCGCGGCGGGAGGAAGCGGGGCGGACGGCGACACACACACACACACACACACACAGACCACCACCACCACCACCACCACCACCACCAACAACAACAACCACAACAACAACCACAACAACAACAACCACAACAACAACAACCACAACAACAACAACAACAGCAGCAACAACAACAACAACAACAACAACAACAACCACAACAACAACAACAACAACAGCAGCAGCAGCAGCAGCAACAACAACAACAACAACAACAACAACAACAACAACAACAACAACAACAACAACAACAAAAACAACAACAACAACAACAACAACAACAACAACAACAACAACAACAACAACAACAACAACAACAACAACAACAACAACAACAAAACAACAACAACAACAACAACAACAACAACAACAACAACAACAACAACAACAACAACAACAACAACAACAACAACAACAACCACAACCACAACAACAACAACCACAACAACAACAACAACAACAACAACAACAACAACAACAACAACAACAACAACAACAACAACAACAACAACAACAACAACAACATCATCATCAACAACAACAACAACACCACCATCACCACCACCACCAACAACAACAACAACCACAACAACAACAACAACAACAACAACAACAACAACAACAACCACAACCACAACCACAACCACAACAACAACGACAACAGCCAACGGCAGCGAGGAGAGGGCAGAGAGAAAGATGGGCACAGGGAAATCAAAAGAACTATGACCCCCAGTTCGGTTTCTGCCAGCAGCCGCGTTCTGTTACTACTTGCCCGAGCCAGCACAGGCGAATATAATCAACGCATCATCCTGAAACTTGGGCAAAAGCATTCTTCAAAAACAACACGAACCAGGCAAATTTCCGCAGCTCTGGCCCGCAATTGTGCCCGAGTTTTTTGTCGACTCCCGTCAACGCGACGTGGAGCTTCCCATGGTTTCCCTGAGAAGCGACAGACGCCCTCGCGCCCGCGGCCGGGCGGGGGCAGGGTCCGAGAACCTGCGACCCTGACCAGGACGCGAATCTTCGTGCATCACCCGCCTCCAGAACTGTAGACATCGGCAATGCAACGGTGGCTGTCGGATCGTCTAGAAAGCCGATGCAAGGGAGGGGTCTACCATAGCCTCCAGTTCCTGGGTCTCGATGGCCTCTACGTTCTGGACCCTGAAACAAGCCCGCGCCACCAGCAAACAAAACTTGAGTTGAACAGTTCCCCCGTTCACAACCATCCGAAGTTCGAGCACCGAGGTTGGGGGAGCCCTGAATGTGAGAGCTGCTACGCAGGAGGCACCAGCTACAGCCTGGACGACCGCGCCGCGCCTGGGGCCAAGCGCAACGCGGGGCACCCATCCGCACTGAAACCGCCCCGCCACTGGTGATCCGTCCTGACAGGGTCGCGCGGATGACTTGCATGGCTCAAAACACTCGAGCCCCACTTGCAAAGCATTAGAATAAGACTTCTTCATGTCGGCAAAAATCGGCGGAGCGCAACGCCCGCCTCAAGACTCGGCGCAACCTGACCCCCACCCCCTAAGGGGTGGCCAGTAAGGGGGCGTCCAAGAGCAGGGGGCACGAATCATGGCCGGCGGCGCGCGCGCGGTCCTGGAGGGGGGCCAGGGACGCATCGAGATGAGAAGAGGCGCCATGGAACCGAAGGAAGAATCATGGCCCACGCCATCACATCCACAGCCCCCAGTCATCACGCCCCTCTTGGCCGCCCCCGCCCCACCCCCCCATCAATCAGACGCGGGCTGGCGCCAGCCACGGCGCCCGTGGAGCGGCGCACCGCCCTCGAAGATGGCGGCCAGCCGCGCGGACGACATCTGGCGGATGCCGAAGGGCGGCTGGCGGCCCTCGCCCCGGATCTTGCGCAAGGCGCGCTCGACCAACCTCGTCACCCAGAGCTCGCAGGTCCAGCCGTCCGTTTGGAACGTCTTGTTGCTGCTCGCAGGGCGTTCCTCGCCAGGGCCGATGGCGCCGAGCTTTCGGAGGATCCTCGTGGCGGCCGTGTTCCACGAGGGGCCTGGGCGCCGCGTGGAGCTCCGCCGGCGTCCGCGCCACCGTGCCGCACCGCTTTGAGCAGGTCGCGGGAGGCGCCGCCATCACGAAAGGCCGCAGGCGGCGATGCCCATCGCTGCCACGCCGAGCGCCTCGGCCGCCCAGTGGAGCTGCACCGCCGCGTCGCGGTCGGGCATGACCCCCTACAGGCGGAGTTTGGAAGAAAACTTACAAATAGTCACTCATCTGTAACGAGTTATTCATTTTTCTAACTATTTTTGAGTACTCCTCCTGCAGAGGAATAAGCCCGACTTGGTCCAAATCCCCCGGTCGGGCCGCTGGCACCTCGCCATCGGCGTCTGAAGGCAGTCGCGCATGAAGCCGAGATCGTCGAGCCCCCCGCCCCGGGCCCCCAAAGCTGGCCGCCTGCTTGAACCCCGCCAGGCCGAGGAGGGCTACCGAACTGCCAGCCCCGCACTCGCCTGGCCTGAAGTACAGTCGAGGCGTTGACCTAAGGAACCCTACTATTGATTTGTTTCCCTAACAGAAATAATTTGCTGAGCAATTAATGCTGTAGCTGTACTGTAGGGTGCTACAGTAAATAATTCGCTGAGCAATTAATGCTGTAGCTGTAGCTGTAGCTGTAGCTGCGACGAAGCTTTCGCGCGGCGTTTTTTTCTGTTTTTTACGACGCCGGGAGGTCTGGGCCAGGAAGGAAAAAGGAGTTAGAAAGGAATTTGATAAGGGATTTCAAAAGTTAGAAAGGAATTCAGTTTTTTGCGTTAAATTTGTTTTTTTACGACGTCAGGAGGTCTGGGCCGGGGAAGAAAAAGGAGTTAGAAAGGAATTTGATAAGGAATTTCAAGAGTTAGAAAGGAATTTCGTTGTTGGGGTCGTTTTTTGTTTTTTTTCAACGACGCCGAGATGTCTGGGCCAGGAAGGAAAAAAAGGAGTTAGAAAGGAAATTGATAAGGAATTTCCAGAGTTAGAAAGGAATTTCGTTTTGGTTGTTGTTTTTAAACGAAAAAGAAACGACGCCGGGAGGTCTGGGCCAGGAAGGAAAAAGGAGTTAGAAATGAATTTAATAAGGAATTTCAAGAGTTAGAAAGGAATTTCGTTTTTGGTGGTGGTTTTTGTTTTGTTTTTTTACGACGCCGACAGGTCTGGGCCAGGAAGGAAAAAGGAGTTAGAAAGGAATTTAATAAGGAATTTCAAGAGTTAGAAAGGAATTTCGTTTTTTGGAAATTGTTTTTTTGTTTTGTTTTTTTTACGACGCCGAGAGGTCTGGGCCAGGAAAGAAAAAAGGAGTTATAAAGGAATTTAATAAGGAATATCAAGAGTTAGAAAGGACTTTCGCTTTTTGGGATTATTTTTGTTTTGTTTTTTTAAACGACACCGAGAGGTCTGGGCCAGGAAGGAAAAAGGAGTTAGAAAGGAATTTAATAAGGAATTTCAAGAGTTAGAAAGAAATTCATTTTTGGTGGCTGTTTTTTTGTTTTGTTTTTTTTACGACGCCGGGAGGTCAGGGCCAGGAAGGAAAAAAGGAGTTAGAAAGGAATTTATCAAGGAATTTCAAGAGTTAGAAAGAAATTTTGTTTTTTGGGTTGTTTTTGTTTCATTTTTACAACGCCGAGAGGTTTGGGCCAGGCAGGAAAAAGGAGTTAGAAAAGAATTTAATAAAGGAATTTCAAGAGTTAGAAAGGAATTTCGTTTTTGGTGGTGTTTTTTTTGTTTTGTTTTTTACGACGCCGAGAGGTCTGGGCCAGGAAGGAACAGGAATTAGAAAGGAATTTAATAAGGATTTCCAAGAGTTAGAAAAGAATTTCGGTTTTTTTAATTGTTTGTTGTTTTGTTTCCTGGCCCAGACCTCTCGGCGTCGTAAATAAAAAACTAAACAAAAAAAACAGCACAGAAAAAAAATACAAATTCCTTTCTAACCCTTGAAATTCCTAATTAAATTCCTTTCTAACTCCTTTTTTCCGTCCTGGCCCAAACCTCTCGGCGTCGTGAAAAAAACGAAACGAAAAACAACCCCAAAAAACGAAATTCCTTTCTAACTCTTGAAATTCCTTATTAAATCCCTTTCTAACTCATGTTTCCTTCCTGGCCCAGACCTCTCGGCGTCTTAAAAAAAAACAAAACAACAAAAACAACCCCCAAAACGAAATTCCTTGCTTGCTAACTCTTGAATTTCCTTATCAAATTCCTTTCTAACTCGTTTTTTCCTTCCTGGCTCAGACCTCTCGGCGTCGTAAAAAAACACCAAAACAACCCAAAAAACAAAATTCCTTTCTAACTCTTGAATTTCCTTATCGAATTCCTTTCTAACTCCTTTTTCCCTTCCTGGCCCTGGCTTCCTCGGGCAATTCGGACTCGATTGTCTTTGAGGTTCAGAACTATCTCTGGTATTCAAATTCCTTTCTAACTCAGGAAATTCCTTATCGAATTCCTTTCTAACTTCCCAACTCAATAGAAATGCATAACCAAAATGCTCTTGGCAATATTTCGAGCCTACATTATTAATTCCCGACACAATTATTGATGTAATTGTATACAGTGCGCACTACAGAAATAATTCAGAAACCAATTAAAGCTGTACTGTAACCAAAAAATCAATGGTAAATAAGGAACGAGGCCTCGATCTTCCATAAGTTGAACTTCGATTTCGTATCCAAAACCTAAAGAAAATCCCAGGCAAGCTGCGAAACAATTGAGGAACACGGAGCCCCTCCCCAACGAAAAGGGTTCCTTCTTCAGGGCCCCGACTGTAGGCGCAGAAAGACAGGAGCACGGCAATCGCATGCTCGATCAGGCCGCGCGCGAGAAGCACCCCGCCAAGGCCGCGACCGGCACCCGCGGCACGCGCCGGCGGGCCTTGCAGGGGACCGCCTTCGCCCATCCCGCCCAGGCCCGCGGAGACCCGGGCGCGCCCTGGTGGCCGCTGCGCCCGCCGTCGGAGTCGCCGAGATGGGGTCCGAGTGGACGGGGTCCACTTGACCGTGTCCCACCCACCCATGACCCAAGACATATTGATCTCGATGCGGTATCAACACGCGACTCGCAAAACGACGGCGAGGACGACACCGATGACGACGACGTTGGTAGGGCTCCTAGATGGGGTCCGAGTGGATGGGGTCGGGGAATCGCGCGGCATCGCCGATGCATCGGCGACGTTCGCCGACGTCGGCGTGGAGAAAATCGGGATCCACATTGAGCCGCATCGCCGAGGCATCGGCGGTGCGGCCCTCTCCTCCGACCCCGTCTACTCCGACCGCATCTAGGAGGCCTACAAATACTTCACCACCGCCCAGATCTTGCCGACCCTAGAAGAAAAAAAAACCAAAAGTGTATGTTTATGGCGTTATTCTTCTTCGAACCTAAGAGGCCTAGAAGTACTTCACCGCCGCCAAGCTCTTGCCGACCACGCCCCCCCTCCTCCTCCTGCTCCTGCTCCTCCTCCTCCTCCTCCTCCTCCGCCTCCTCCTCCTCCTCCTCCTCCCCCTCCTCCTCCTCCTCCTCCTCCCCCTCCCCCTCCTCCTCTCCTCCTCCTCCTCCTCCTCCTCCTCCTCCTCCTCCCCCTCCCTCCTCCCTCCCTCCCTCCCTGGAAGACAAGCTCGCCCACGCGCGACGCCGGGGCGCGGCCCGGGGCCCGCGGTCGAGCGAGGCCTGGCCCACCCTCGACCCCACCGCCAGCGTCCAGGAGCACGCGCGCGCCTGCCCGGCGTAGCCCCAGCGAGTGGCGCCCGCGACCGAGCGGCCCCGACGTGGAGGGCAGAAGGTCCACTCCCTTTGCAGCGGAGGCCAGTCCACAAGAAACCTTCGGGCAAAAAGCCCAACCCTGAGACCCCAGGAGGTCCCTTGGCTTTTGCTGTGGGCACGTCACGCTCTCCACGGCAAGGCCATCGAAACCCAAGAAACCCAGTGTACCCTGGAGGCGAGCAGGGTGTTTCATGGCATGGGCCTCCACTGTATCCCCAGCGAGTGGCGCACGCGACCGAGCGGCCCCGATGTAGAGGGCAGAAAACCCACCCCCATTATAATCATCCAAACACGCGAAGCCGTTCAGTAAACGCGCCCAAAGAAGGAATCGAACAGGGCCGGGCTGTTGAGTAAGCGCCCAGGGCCGTTTAGTAAACGCCGATTGTCGGGTCCGGGTGGTCACGATGGCGCGCGAGCTGAGGCGAGCTTGGGATGGTGCTCCGCATTGAGCGCCAACGGCCTGCATCGGGCCCTCCTCGCAGCCGCGGCCGCCGCCGAGGGACGCCCCGCGGCGGCCACCGAGGGACCCCCGAGGGCGGCGCCGAGGTCCGCGCCTGGTGGCAGAGGGCCCCCCCGCATGGGGGTCAGGCAAGCCAGGGACGACCAGAGGTCGGCGACGGGGGCCTGCAGCACGGTGCCCAGCGCCGGCAGCAGAGAGCTGCCCTCGGTCGTCCTGCAGCCCGACGTGCAGCGGCGGCCCCCGGACGCACGGCCCGCGGGATCCTTCCGGGCGGGGGCCAGCCAACGCTCGCGCGGAGGCCGCGGGGCAACCTCTCGCAGGACATCCCGAAGCTGGCAGGCAGCTCCGCGCTGTGGGCGAGGGCGAGGACCCTGCGGCCGAGAGCTCCCTTGTTGGTCTCGACGAGCACAGCGGCGGGGGCTCGATTGGGCGAGGCCCCCAAGATGGGGGGCACCGGCCAGGCCTCGCCACCAGGAGGCCCCAGAGAGCCGGGCGCCGAGGTCCGCCAAGCCACCGCCGACGGCGTCGCCGCACCTCTGGAGAAGGACCCGCCCGGCGGAAGCCTGCCCCGAAGGTCCTCCCCATAGGGTCAGGTCGGACAAAGCCCTCCTCCAGGCGGGGTTCTGCCCCCTCCCCCAAAAAAACTCCAACAAGATATCAAGGGTAGTCAGAAAATCGTCCCGGGACTACGTTTCAACTATCTATCTTTGAATTTTCCTCCCGTAGAGGGACATGCCCGACTCAACCATTAGAGGCCTCCTAGATGGGGTCGGAGTAGATGGGGTCGGAGGACCGCGCCGAATCGCCCATACATCGGCGATACATCGGCGATGCATCGGCGATGCATCGGCGATGCACCGGCGATGAGGCGTCGACGTCGGCGATGTATCAACGACGCCGGCGTGGGGAAAATCGGGCTCCGCATCGAGCCGCATCGTCGATGCATCGGCGATGCGGCACGATCCTCCGACCCCATCTGCTCGGGCCCCTATCTAGGAGGCCTCTAATGGTTGAGTCGGGCATGTCCCTCTCCAGGAGGAATATTCAAATATAGATCATTGAAACGTGGTCCCGGGACGATGTTCTGACTACTCTTGATATCTTGTTGGAGTTTTCTTTTGGGGGGGGGGGGGCAGAAACCCGCCTGGAGGAGGCCTAGAACCATGGAAGTCGGCAGCCGAACTGGAAAAACCCGAATCGGCGGACATCGGCAGCCTTGTTTGCCTCTAAAAAAAGTCGGAACCCACATCGGAATCCCGAGCCGAACCGAATCGGAATCGGTATCCATCGAAATCGAGTCGAATCCAATCGGAGGAATCGAAACGAGCCCTGCATCGAGGAGGCCTAGAACCATGCGGACGTCGCCCAGGCCGGCCTCGACGGCGCGCCATCGAGCCGCGGCCGCACCTCTGCGCGAGGCGCCGCTGCTCTGCCGCGCGCCCCCGGGGCGCGGCCCGCCGCCCCGGGAACAGCGGGCTCGCGCGCGGGCGCCGCGGCCCCGGCGCGAGGCGTCGCCGGCCGCCGCGCCGGGGAACCAGCTCGAGCCCACGCGCGGCGCGAGCAAGGGGGGGAGGGAGGAGGAGGAGGAGGAGGAGGAGGAGGAGGAGGAGGAGGAGGAGGAGGAGGGAGGCCCCTGACCAGCCTCGGCTCCGCCGCCGCGGCGCCCCCAACCAGAGTCCGGCCCGAGGGCCCGGGCCCCTTGGCGGCAGCGGAGGCCGGGCGGAGGGTGTCGGCAGGGCGGAGCGCGCGGCAGCAGCAGGACCCAGGTCGCGCGACGCGCCCCTGACGCCCAGAAGGCGATGGCAATCTTTGGGATGCGCCCTCAAAACATAAGGGAATCCCTACGATTGGCATCGTGATGAGGAGGTGCCCAGCATAGGGATAGGAATATGTTCCAGGCTGGTAAAAAACAAACAACAAAAACAACAAAAAAAAAAAAAAAAAAAAAAAAACGGGAAGGCGGAGAGGGCTGCGACAGCGCGAGGGGTTCTTATGTTGCATCCTCGGGGGACCTTGTCTGTCCCGTCGCGGCCCTGTCCGCGTCGAATCCGTGTCGAATCCATGCCGGACGCGTCGGATCCGTGTCGAATCCGCGTCGAATCCACGCCGAATCCGCGTCGAGTCCGCGTCGAGCACGCGTCGGGCCCCCCAAAAAAGACACCAATTTGGGGGACAGGCGAGGTCCCCCGAAGATGCAACAGAATGAGCCTGGAATACGGGGGGGCTGTACACAGCGCCCGCCCCACGATTCCGAGCCGACCCTCCGGTCTTGTGCTGGAAGGCGACCTGCACCGGGGAGGGCGAGGAGCCTGCCGCCCCAATCGCAGGAGAGTGCAACCCGCTCTTGTGCTACT